TCAAATGCTATTTCAGCATCAATTGAAGTGATCATGTGGGTTTTGTGTTTCATTTTGTTGCTATAATGTATCACATTGATTGATTTGCATATGTAGGACCATCCTTGCATTCCTGGGATAAATCCCACTTTGTCATGATGAATGACCTTTTTAATGTGTTGCTGAATTAGGTTTTCTAGCATTTTGTTGAGGATTTTTGCATCAATGTTCATCAGATATATTGGCCTGTAACTTTTTTCTTTCTTACTTTTTGTCTTTCTTTCTTTCTCTTGCTCTCTCTTTTTTCTTGTCTTGTCTTTTCTTTCTCTCTCTCTCTCTTTCTTTCTTTCTTCTTTCTTTCCTTTGTGTCTTTTTCTGATTTTGGCATCAGGGTAATACTGGCCTCAGAGAATGAGTTTTGAAGTATTCCCTCTGCCTCTATTTTTTGGAATAGTTTAAGTAGGATTGCTGTTAGTTCTTCTTTAAATGTTTGGTAAAATTCAGCAGTAAAGCCGCAGTTCTTGGGCTTTTCTTAGCTAGGAAACTTTTTATTACAGCTTCAATCTCATTACTTGTTACTGGTCTGTTCAGGTTTTGTATTTCTTCATGGCTCAATCTTGGTAGGTTTTTTGTGTTTGGAAATCTGCCCATTTCTTTTAGGTCTTCCTGTTTATTGGCGTATAGTTAGTTGTTCATAGTAGCCACTAATGATCCTTTGAATTTCTGTGGTATCAGTTCTTATGTCTCCTTTTTCATTTCTGATGTTATTTATTTGGGTCTTCTCTCCTTTTTCCTTAGTCTGACTAAAGGTTTGTCAATTTTGTTGATCTTTTAAAATAACAACTTTTTGTTTCATCGATCTTTTTTTTTCATTTCAATTTCACTTATTCCTGCTCTGATCTTTATTATGTATATTCTTCTACTAATTTTGGTTTTGATTTGCTCTTGCTTTTCTAGTTCCTTGAGATGCATCATTAGGTTATTTGAAGCTTTTCTATTTTTTTGATGTGGGCAATTATTGCTATAAATTTCCCTACTGCTTTCACTGTATCCCATGAGTTTTGCTATGTTGTGTTTCCATTTTTATTTGTTTCAAGACATTTTTAAACTTCCCCCTTAATTTCTTTCTTGACACACTGGTAATTGAATAGCATATTGTTTAATTTCTATGTGTTTGTATAGTTTCTAAAATACATCTTGTTATTGGTTGCTAGTTTTATTCCATTGTTGTCAGGGAAGATATTTAATTTCAATTTTTTTGAATTTTTAAAGATTCATTTTATGTTTTAACATCTGGTCTGTCTTTGAGAATGATCTACATGCTGAGGAAAAGAATATGTATTCTTCAGCCATTGGATGAAATGTTCCGTAATTATCTATTAGGTCTATTTAGTGTATAATGCAGAGTAATTCTGATGTTTCTTTGTTGAATTTCTGTCTGGAAGATCTGTCCAATGCTGAAAATAGGGTGTTGAAATCTCTAGCTATTGTCATATTAGTGTATACAAACTCTCATTAGCTCTGATAATATTTTATTTATGTATCTGGGTGCTCCAGTATTGGGCATGTATATGTTTACAATTGTTAGATCCTCTTGCTGAATTGACCCCTTTATATAAAAAATTAATAGTGACCTTTTTTCTTTCTTTTTTATAGTTGTCTCAAAACCATTTTTTTTTTAAGTACAGCTACTTCTGCTCTTTTTTGGTTTCTGTAGAATAATCTTTTTCCATCCATTTATTTTCAGTCTATGTGTGTCTTTGTAGGTGATTTGTTTCTTGTAGGCAACATATCATTGGGCCTTTTTTTTTTTTTTTTTCTTCATTCAGCTATTCTGTGTCTTTTGATTGTAGAGTTTAGTCCATTTGTGTTATTGTGTTCTTACTGCGTTATTGACCCATAAGGACTTACTTCTGCTATTTTGTTACCGGTCTTCTGGTCTCCTCTTCCTTCTTTTCTGTCTTCCTTTTAGTGAAGGTGGTTTTCTCTGGTGACGTATTTTAACTCCTTGCTTTTTATTTTTTGTGTATCTATTGTATGTTTTTTGATTTGAGGTTACCACAAGGCTGGCAAATAATATTTTATAATTTTATAAATTATAAATTATATTTTAAAATTATACAAAATATAATTTTACAATGTAACCCATTATTTTAAGCTGATGATAACGCTGATTACATAAACTAATGAACAAGCAAAGAGAAAACTAATAAAAACTCTATAACTTTTTGTTTTTCCTATTTATGTCTTATACTGTCTTGAAAAGTTGTTACAATTATTTTGATAGGTTCATCTTTTCATCTTTCTGTTCAGGATATAAGTAGTTTGCACACCACAATTATAGTATTATAATATTCTATTTTTTTCTGTGTACTTACTAATAACTGTATGCTTTGTACTTTAAGATAATCTCTTATTGCTCATTAATACCCTTTTCTTTCAGATTAAAGAACTCCTTTTAGCATTTCTTGTTAGAACAGGTTTAGTGTTGATGAAATCCCTCAGCTTTTGTTTGTCTGGGAAAATTTGTATTTCTCCTTCATGTTTGAAGGATATTTTCACCAAGTATGCTATTTTAGGCTAAAAGTTTTTTTTCCTTCATCATTTTAATATGTTATGTCACTCTCTCTTGTGCTATAAGATTTCCACTGAGAAGGCTGCTACCAGACAAACTGAAGCTCCTCTGTATATTATTTATTTTCTCTTGCTGTTTTTAGGATACTTTCTTCATCCTTGACCTTTGGGAATTTTATTATTATATGCCTGAAGTTGTATTACTGAGATTTGATCTTCTTCGTGTGCTACAGCCTTCTTGTACTTGAGTATTGATATCTTTCTCTAGGTTTGGGAAGTTCTCTGTTATTATTTATTTGAATAAACTTTCTACACCGATGTTTCTACCTCCATTTTCAGGCTAATAACTCTTAGATTTTTCCTTTGGGGCTATTTTCTAGATCTTGTAGGCATGCATCATTAATTTTTATTCTTTTTTCTTCACTATCTGCCTTCTCTGCCAATTAAAATTCCACTTTACATCCAACCACCACTCTGGCTTTGAAGCTGCAACCTGATATTGACACTTTGTAGATGTAGTATGACTATTCTTTTTTTTTTTTTTTTAAGACAGATTCTCACTTTGTTGCCCAGGCTGGAGTGCAGTAGCGTGATCTCAGCTCACTGCAACCTCTGCCTTCCTGGTTCAAGCAATTCTCCTGCCTCAGCCTCTCTAGTAGCTGGGACTACAGGCACATGCCACCACACCCAGCTAATTTTTTAATTTTAGTAGAGACACAGTTACACCTTGTTGGTCAGGCTGGTCTTGAACTCCTGACCTCAGGTAATCCACTCGTCTCAGCCTCCCAAAGTCCTGGGATTACAGGTCTGAGCCACTGCGCCTGGCCGTAGTATGACTATTTTTATACTTCTCTATCTACTGATGAAGATCCTACTCTTTTAGTATAAAGAGTACCAATGACTTCCAAACAATTAGTTTTGATAACATCCAAAAGAGAGTAATCAACCCAACACTAGCCCCAGTAACCAACACCTTACTGGCCCTGTTACTACTAATAATCACATTTTGGCTCCTACAGCTTAACACTTATACAGAAAAATCCAACCCTTATGAATGCAGATTTGACCCATAGGCTCCACCTGCCTCCGCTTTTGCATAAAATTCTTCCTAGTAGCCATTATATTCCTCCTCTTCAACTAAGAGATCGCTCTACTACTACCTCTACCATGAGCCCTTCAAACAAACAACCTGACACCAATAATTAGCACAGCCTTTATGCTAGTTACCGTTTTAATTCTAGGCTTGACTTATGAATGAGGCCAAAAAGGATTAGGCTGAGTTGAACTGGTAAATAGTTTAAGTTAAAATAAATGATTTCGACTCATTAGATTACGATTGACCATATTTACTAAACGTCCTCTATATCAATATTATATTATCATATATAACTGCTAGGGGTATTAGTCTATTGATCCCGCCTAATATCATCTCTACTATGATATTATGCCTCAAAGGCATAATTCTGTCAATATTTATCATAAATACTCTTATAACTTTAAATATACATTTCATTCTTGCATCCCTCATACCCATCATCCTCCTAGGATTTGCTGCCTGTGAAGCCACAGTGGACCTTGCCTTATTAGTTTCAATTTCCAGTACATATGGTCTACATTATGTACAAAATCTAAATTTACTTCAATGCTTAAAGTTATTATTCCAACAATTATACTGTTACCAATGACACGATTCTCTAAAAATTCTATAATCTGAATCAACATGGTTATCTACAGCCTACTCATCAGCCTCATCAGCCTACTGTTTTTAACCAAGTCAATGATAACCATCCAATTTCTCATTAATTTTCCCTTCTGACCCACTGATATCACCCTTTCTAATCTTAACAGCCTGACTACTGCAAGCCAATATCATCTGTCCAGTGAATCACCCCCATGCAAAAATCTCTGTGTATTTTCAGATAGGCTGTCTTTAAGCTCACCCATTCATTCCCCTGCTTGATTAATTCTGTTGTTAAGAGACTCTGATGCATTCTTCAGTATATGTCAGTTGCATTTTTCAGCTCCAGAATTCTTTTTAATTATTTCAATCTCTTTGTTATATTTATTTGGTAGGATTCTGAACTTCTTCTCTGTGTTATCTTGAATTTTTGTTGTGCTTCCTCAAAATAGCTATTTTGAATTCCCAGTTTTAAAGGTCACATTTCTCTATCTCTCTGGGATTGGCCACTGGTGCCTTAATTTAACTTTATTTATTTTTTTGTGAAGCCATGTTTTTCTGCATGGTCTTGATGCTTGGGTATGTCCATCAGTCCCTGGGAATTGAAGAGTTGGGTATTTACTGTAGTCTTTATAGTCTAGGCTGGTTTGTGCCTGTTCTTCAGAAGGCTTTCTAGATATCTTAAGGGACTTGAGTGTTGTAATCTAAGTCTTTGGTCACTGCAGCCACGTCTGCTTTAGGGGATACCCCAAGCCCAGTAACCTTGTGGCTCTTTCAGACTCATAGAGGAATTGCCTTGGGGGTCTTGGGTAAGATCTGGGAGAATTCCATGGATTATAAGGCACAGACTGATCTCTTCACCTATTTTCCTCCAAGCAAACAGAGTCTCTCTCTCTCTCTCTCTCTCTCTCTCTGTCTGTGCTGAGCTGCCTGGAGCTAGCCAAGGGAGGGGAGGACACAAGTATCCTTGTGGCCACCACCACCGGGACTGGACTGGGTTAGAACTATAGCCAGAACAGTGCTGGTTCTCCCCCAAGGCCTGTGGTGACCACTGTCTGGCTACCACCTGTGTTATTCAAGGCTCAAGCGCTCTACAATCAGCCTGTGGCAAATCTAGCCAGGCTGTGGCCTTTCCTTCAGGGCAATGAGATCCCCCTGGCCCCAGGTGGGTCCAGAGGTACCATTTGGGACCCAGGGCCAGTAGTTAGGAACCTTAGGAAACTAACTGGTGCTCTATTCTACTGTGGCTGAGCTGGCACGCACTCAAACCACAAGACAAAGTCCTTCCCACTCTCCCCATCCCCCAACCTTTTCTCAAGCACAGGAGTCTCTTTCCATGGCCACCACCTCAGGCCTGTGACAAACATCGCCTGGATACCACTGATGTTCGCTTAAAGCCCAAGGGCTCCTCAGTAAGTTTGTGGTGAATGCTGCCAGTTTTGAGTCTGTCTCTTTAAGGCAGTAGACTCCTCTCTGGCTCAGGGCAGGTCCAGAAATCCTGTCCAGGAGCCAAGGCCTGGAATCAGAGACCCCAAGAGTCTGCTTGGCGTTCTATCCCACTGAGGCCAAGCTAGCAGCCAAGCTGATTTTTTGGTTATTATGAAGGTGGTTTTTCTTGGTGAGTAGTTGTTCAATTCAGAGTTCCCATGGGAGAATGATTGCTGGAGGCTTCTACTTGGTCATCTTGCTCCACCTCTCTCCTCCTTATAATTTTTAATACAGTTTCGAGGCTGGGCATGGTGGCTCATGCCTATAATCCCAGCACTTTGGGAGGCTGAGGCAGATGGATCACGAGGTCAAGAGATAACTGATATTTGAGCAGTTACAGCTAATGCAGGAATTAAGAAAGGACTTTAGAGACACGATTGCCCAAGAGACAGAGTAGGGAACAGCAGCTGTAAAATAAGCCAGAGAACAAATGACCAAACTTGAAGATCAACCTAAAGAAGTTCCTCAGAATGCAGCATGAAGAACTAAAGAAGAGAAATAGCCAAGAAAGGTTAAGAGATCATGAGAGTGGATTCAGAAGATTCAGTACACATTTAAGAAAATACAGGCTGGGCGCGGTGGCTCACGCCTGTAATCTCAGCACTTTGGGAGGCCGAGGCGGGTGGATCACAAGGTCAAGAGATCGAGACCATCCTGGTCAACATGGTGAAACCCCGCCTCTACTAAAAATACAAAAATTAGCTGGGCATGGTGGCGCACACCTGTAATCCCAGCTACTCAGGAGGCTGAGGCAGGAGAATTGCTTGAACCCGGGAGACAGAGGTTGCGGTGAGACGAGATCACGCCACTGCACTCCAGCCTGGGTAAAAAGAGCGAAACTCTGTCTAAAAAAAAAAAAAAAAAAATACAGTTTCTGGGAGGTGAAAGAAAAGCTCTTTATGATTTACCTACTATGTACTTTCCTGAGCTGGATATCAGATAATATAATAACAATAGTGTCGGGCCATTTTAGTCCCTCTTCTCTGAGTAGGAGGGATTTTTGTCAAGTAGCTGGATTGGGACACATCTTTCCTTTTCTCCTACGGAAGGGTTTTTGGCAGCTCCTCACCGTGACTGATATAGACAGTGTTATAGTTGTTGCTGAAGCTTAGGCTTCTGTGGGATTGGCTGAAGATTTTCTTTCAGTTCTTTTAAATTTATTGAGTCTTGTTTTATGGCCCAAACTTTGGTCTATTTTGGTGAATAAAACATTTACTCTGGAAAAAAATATGTATTCTGTAGTTGTTAAATAAAATGTTCTAAAAAAGGTTATGTCAAAGTGATTGTTAATGGCACACACATTTTCTATCTTTACCAATATTTTTGTCTGATTCTGTCAATTGCCAAAAAAGGCGTATTAAAATCTCCACCTATGATTGTAAATATGTGTGTTTCCTTAATTCTGTCAATGTTTGCATCACATGTTTTGAGGTTCTACTATTAGATGCATATACATTTGTGATTGTATATGCATCTAATAGATGAATTGATAATTTTATCATTTAGATAAAAAGGTTTCTTTTCCTCCAATAATACTTTATTTTATTTTATATCCAGCTTTATGCATATTGATTACCTGATATGTATGTTTTCATCCCTTTGCTCTCAATTATTTGTGCCTTTATATTTTAAGTGTGTATCAGGTAGACAGCAAATACAAGTCTTACCTTTTCATCCATTCTGGCAATCTCTTTTAATTGAGTGTTTATTCCATTTAGATCTAATGTATTTTTTGATATGGGTTAATTTGTGTCTACCATTTTCCTATTTGTTTTCTGTGGCCATTCTATTTTTTATTCCTGTTTCTCCTTTTTTGCCTACTTTTTGATACATTTAATATCATTAGGATTCTAATTTTAATTTATATTTCAGTTATTAAGCAATACTTCTTTGCATTTTGGGGTCAATTTAGGGATACATTATACATCCTTAACTTTTCATTGTCAACTCAGAGCTAATATTTTACTACTTTCTAGTAAAGTCCAAGAATCTTATAACACTATAAGTCCTCTTACCATCCTCTCTTCTCTCATATTTTACCTTTATGTATTACATATGCATACATTGTGTATTACATATGCATACATTACAAACCCTACTATGCAGTGTTCTTATTTTTGCTTTAAACACACATATATTTTAAGGAAATTAAGAGAAAAGAATTTTTACATTCAGTCATACAACTATGATTTCTAGTTTCTTCATTCCTTTCTGAAGATCTGAATTTCTATTTGGTACTGTTTCCCTTCATGCTGGAGATATTCCTTTAGAATGTTTTGTAATATATGTCTTCTGGTAACAAATGTCCTGATTTATTTTTATCTAAAATTGACTTTATTTTGCTTTCATTCTTGAAGTATGTTTTTACTGGATATAGAATTCTGGGTTGACAGTTCTTTTTCCCCTTTTCATATGAAGAAATAATTTTACAAACTGGCTTCATTTTGTAATGAGACAACCTCAGTTCTTCATATTATTGTTCTCCTGAATGTACTGTGTTATTTTCCTCTGGTTGCTTTAAGATTTTCTCTTTATCTTTGATATTCAGTATTTTGACCATGATGTAACTAGGTTTTATTTTCTTTGCATGTATTCTGCCCGGGATTGTTGAGTGTCTAGAATCTGTTAATTTATGCCTTTTACCAAATTTGAGAAATTTTTCATGATAATGTTTTCAAGTAGTTTTTCTATTTGAAAAAAAGGGATTCTGAGAATCTAATTACATATATGTTAGACCACTGATATTGTTCCACAGGTTCCTGAGCTCTGTTCATTTTCCTCATTCTTTCTTTTTGCTATTAATTAGACTGGATTACTCTAGTAATATATCTTAAAGGTCATTGGCTTTTTCTTCAGTTATCTTCAGTCTACTGTTGAGCTTATCCAGTAATTTCTATTTTAGATGCT